AATAATCATCAAAAAAAACATAACAAGAATCAGCGTTATCAGAAAAAGAATAATCATCACTGAAATTATAATAATAATCAGCACAATCATAATAATCATCAAAAAAAAACATAATAAGAATCAGCGTTTTTAAAATAAGAATAATCATTACATAAAAAAATAATAATAATAAGCAGCACAACAATAATAATAATCATCAAAAAAAAAACATAATAAGAATCAGCGTTATCAGAAAAATAATAATCATCACTTAAATAATAATAATGATCAGCAGCAGCATAATAAGCATCAAAAAAAAAAAAAAAAAACNTCAATGAGAGTATCTTGCGAATCAGCGATTGTGCAGAAATCGGTCGGTAATTTTACGTATCCAGTTTCATCTATAGCAACTTTTCCATCACCGATATCTAAGAGTTGTTTTGAAAATGTTTCAGCGGATGGATCTTGAAGCATTTGAACGCGCATATTTACTTTCAGCTGTACTTTTTCAACATTACGCCACAATGGAGATGATTTTAAGCAAGCGTTGATCTCATCAGCGTATGTTGAACGTGGAATGACTGGAAGTGTTTGCCTGAAATCACCTGAAAGGACCAACAGAGTTCCGCCAAATAGATTGTCGTTGTTTTTAATATCTTTCAATGTCCTGTTCAACGCCTCAAGCGAATGTTTGTGTGCCATAGTACATTCATCCCAGATGATAATTTTACACTGTTTCAGCACGGTGGCCATGGACGATTGTTTCTTAATGTTGCATACTGCGTCAGGGTTATTCTGAATATTTAGTGGCAGCTTAAATACTGAATGAGCTGTTCTGCCTCCATCCAATAAAGTTGCTGCAATGCCCGATGATGCAACGGCCAATGCGATGCCATTATTTGATCGTATTTCAGCAAGAATTAGCGAAATAACGAATGTTTTGCCAGTTCCACCCGGTGCATCCAAAAAGAAGAACCCACCTTGTCTAGCTGAAACTGTGAGCATTATGCGATCATAAACGGTTCTTTGTTCCTCATTCATTAGTGGGACATTGCGGGCAACAATCGCTGCAATTTCTACAGTGCTGTACTGCAGTTCACGATTCATTTCAGTATTCATTAAATCAGATTCAGTTCGATTTGGCGAATTCATACCGAAATGACTGAGTGGTAAGTTGGCAATGACAATGCAAAGATCCTCAATAGCAATTAATGTTTCATTGTACATTGCGTCGCTGAATGTTATGGTTAGATCGTGGCACCGTGTTGATGCAATATATCATGTCATTGAATCTTTGTGTTTATCCCACAATATCTGTGCTCGGCCTGGGAAACATTTAGTCAACACTATAGCGAATAGTAGACGAATTTGTATTGCTGTACAGTTCAATGCAGCTTCAGCAAGCATAAATTCCCACTGGTTGTCGTCTTCCAGCAAGCCGAGTGCAAGGCATGCATCTTTATACGTTGGATAGTGTTGCCCATTCACTTTACGTATATCTTGAAATGATAATGGGCCAGTAACATTAACCAACAACAGTCGAAGATAAAAGCACTCAGTGTGTCTTGGATTGACTGTAAATAATCGCCCCAAGGCGTTTGATTTGAATAAATTGGGACATGCATCAACTGGTGAGCCTTGCTTGCGAGGCATCCATTTTTTTGTTTGAGCCCATGTGAAATAGCGTGGTACTTGTGAATAGGGTAATGTTCGGGCAAAGGCACCAAAATCATCCGCACGATTACACAATTCAAAAAAATCAGTGAGCGTAGTTTTTGGTGGATTTATAGCACGATCAATCGCTGTCTCGTTCGTGAAAAATACACGCTGACCGTTTTCAAGATGGACAGCTAACTGAACAACTGCTGGATCCCGTCCATGAATAGAAAAACCAAAGATACGCCAAGCAGCTTCATTGGAGCTGATGTACCGACCAATTTGGTAGAGCGTTATTTCATCGTTTTTATTCACTGGAGGAGCATTCACATTGGTATTTTCCACTCTAAACACAGCCATATCACTGCCTTTATGGACATACTTGCAAATATATTTGATACTCTTCACAGAACTGCAGAACTCAACATTAATATGAGCATTTAATGTCTTACTTAGGAGAGGCGAATATGGCACAACCCAACGATTGTCAATGTCAATGTCTGTGTTGCTGATGTTTTTAATAAATGATCGTCCGCCATTATTGGAATTTATTCGACGATATATTGGATATCCGTCGACATTTGTGATCGTATCGTTAGTGAAATCTTTAGGGATAATTTTAGTACATTTTCCATCTGGCATGCAAGGCGATGAACGATTAAGAGTACCGCATGAGCCATGAATCATGTTTGCTGTAACAATATCAAACAGCAGTTGGTCAGTGGACGGATCTGGAATTTCCGCAGAAATGATACTATCGATTTCTTCAGGACGGATTTTGTCGATTAACCAAACCAAAATGTGTGCATGAGGTAATCCTCGCTTTTGCCACTCAACCGAATACAGCCAGCAACGTGTGGGACCGAATACATGTAATTTAGTAATGAAAATTATTAAAGACTTCAACTTTTGTCTGAACACACGTGCTGTAATGTCATGGCGATGTATTGCATTTTGGCCAGGCAATAGCAAAATGCAATCTCTGGCCATTTTGGGTTACATGTGAACGTGATAAATAAACATGGTCGTCCATATTCGCGTACGAAAGTCAGAGCATCCTGTATATATTCTTGCATATGACGTGGACTGCCTACGTACGATGATGGTAAAATTACATGGTTATCAATTTCGGCGACGTCGGCGTTGTTGTTGATAGCGTCTCGCAAATGAATGTACTCTTCCGCACGCAGCTTTAGTTGATTATATCGTAAGTATCGTAGTCGTTCGCCCTCAATCTTCGCGTACATGTCGACCATGAATTGTTGACAAAGCTCACGACATCGTAGAATGACGTTGTCCAGGCCGCGTCTAATCATTAATCGGTACGCATAATAATCCTTTGAGCTAACGCTCTTGTTTGTTTCAGCTCCTGTAATAATATATTCATAAAAATTAATTTAAATTAATTACGTTCAATAATTTAATTGTTTTGTTAAATGATTAATGATCAAATTCATAATCAATGAAGTACCTGATACGGGATCTCGTTGTTTTATGTTTATGCAATATCCGTCTTGTCCCTTCCAGAATATTAGCGGATATTGGAGAGCGTCATATGAACGATGTGTATCAGCAATGAACTGAAGATTATTATTTCTTCTACGAATCACAATTTCTCGTGCACCTGTACGATCGCCAACCATGATTCCAGCAACATCATCAACAACGGGTGCATTGAATCTACAAATATGCTCTCCAGCTGGTGTTTTATCAGGATTAATGACGATAGCGTGATTATCGCTTTGTAATTTGTGCATGTGTGATTTTAATATTTTCAACAATTCGTTGTGCTCATTCAATAGAGCATCCAGCTCGCTGACGATGCGTCTGGCATAAAATGAATCAAGGTTATTATAATCACAACGTGCATTCACGCGATTGGCAAGTGCGCTTCCGGAATCCTCGCCGCCCATGAAGTAGATTTGTAAAAATGTATGTGGTTCGTTTGGCATTGGCAGCAGTGAGCCCATTTTATGATAAACTTGGCCTCTGATTTTGAATGTAGAATTGTATTGTTGACCATTTGCATTAGTATTTCGAACTATTTCTGTTGCTCCGAACGATGTCATTTGAAAGCATGAATTGAATGTTCGAATTGACTTCAGGAACACGTTAGAATCTGGATCCGTGCCGATAAGTAAACCGTTCAATGGTTCAGATGGTGTTTCAATTTCAGGTAGTTGCACTTTTCCTGACGCGCAACACATCCCAGCTGGCTCATTTTTGAATTTCAGAGCATGACAATGCGGACATTCCTTGTCCATAGCACCAATTACCACTTTTGAATGAGCATAATATTCAATATCGGGCTCATACTGGAATGCTAGACGCAGGAATGAATCAGATGTAAATGCTCGATGTACCTGTTGTCGTTGTTGGTCATTTGTTCTGCGTCTATTGACTGTGAAACGGCGTGATTGTCGTTGTTCTAATCTTATTACTTCATTGCGTTCAGCTCGTGTGTCTTCTGACTCTTCTTGACGCAATTGCGCCATTCTGACACGTGCATCAGTATTTTGTTGCTGGATTTGTTCTTCGGTTCTTTCGGATCTTCTATTTCGCAAGCTTCGAGATTTACTTGTATTACGGTTCAAATCAGCCCCTTTGCGTTTTGTTGGCATTGAAATATGTGTAAAACACACGTACATAGGTTAGGTTAGGTTAGCAAAATTAGCCAAATCGGCCCAGCCGTTCTCAATTGTTATTGGCACGCGGGTGCCACGGAAACCAATAATAAAAAATAACCACATAGAGTGTATATTATCTCTCTATGGCAAAATAATAATTGTTGAATATCGTGCGTGCTAGTATACTTTGACTTAAGAGGCCATAACTCCGGAATCACTTATCGCAGAGCATACAAACTTAGATAGTAGCCGATTCTCAGACCTACTGAATATGCATATAAAATTTCATGAGAATCGATCAAGCCGTCTCGGAGGAGTATGGGAACGAACATTGTAACACGATAATTTTATATATAAGATTTAATGTATACCTAATGTAAGTAACGATAAACTATTGCTTACGAAAGAACGATTCTGAGCGCAGTTCAGTTGATATTGATGATTTGTCAAAAACATATATGTAATTTTTTTTAGTAAAATAATTAAATAGGCTTTATATATTTGCTTAAATGATATTTGTTTAATATTGTACTGATTTTTCCGTTTTTCTGCGTATTTTCAGGTTTTCTCATGTTTTAAATTACCATGGAGATAAAAATTCCTTTCAGAAAACAAGATACACTTGATACTTCGGAGTAAGATTTCTGGTAGAAAAGTTTGCACAACAAATCGAGTGGTATTTTTCGATTAAAATAGTCCGAGCAAGCGATAGCTGGGTCTCTAGGTACACCTAAAATGCATTTATTTTTTACACTGTTTAGGGTAAATTGAAATAATGAGTGCAAACAATTTTCGAAACATGGGTTTGAACTAGTGAGAACCTTAGGATGAAATTAGGTATGTATAACCATTTGGCTACGACAAATATACCCTAGAGATGACAATATTTAGTTATTTAACATAACATATAATAGCCATATAATATCATAATATACTTCAAAAAGTTATAATTTCGAAACTTAGTCAGTCCGCTTTATTCGGCTTTCACCATCGTTCTGAAATCAGCAATATACATATTATGTATAAAAAAAAAATTGAAAAATTAGATCTGTTCCACATAATTTTTTACTCAAACGATTTTCGTCAAAATTAGATATTAAAATTCCTTTATAAAAAAAATACTACATTAATAGGCCATAGTTTTATGTTCCTATTAGAATACTATCGTATTCGTATGTTGGAGAATTCGATAATTAAAAATATCGTTAAGGTATTTATGCGATACGATTTTTCAATTATTATTATTAACTGTGTTTTGTGTACAGTGATGCGTATGTGTATGAATACAACTAATACTCTGGGATGTTTCACTATATTACTATATATGGGTCGCCTGGAGCGATTTCGACATTTTCAACCAAACTCGGTAAGTATCCAATTAGCTACGTATTCATTCTCATACTCTCGTATTTCCAGGCGTTTCTTTTTAGATTTCAAACTTTGAAAACTTTCTAAACAATTTGTACGGACATTTTGTACTTCGAGTTTTTCTTTTGTTCATATTTGGTTTCCGATTTCCATCAATCCACTCTGTTTATAAATACTATATCCATATGTCCAGTTCGTCAACACGTAGGTACTAGGTGCATTTGAATAACACCAACATTGTTTGAGAAGAATGTTGAATTCGGTAGGTACACACAATTTACAAAAAAAAAAAAAAAATAACAAAATTATTTAAGTATGTGAAAAAAAAAAAGTTTATACTGGCATAAGGAATTAATCGTTCAAAATTGGTACGCTCTCAAATAAATTTTAGTTTGAAGTCAGTCAAATTCACTTCAAATCTTAGGAATTAAACTCTAGATTCATCAGTAGTATGTATTTGCCGATTCTGGGACAACCAATTTTTAACTGAGTTTGAACAGTAAATTTTTAACAATATTTAACAAAAATAATAACAAAAAACCATATAAATTTTGCCTTTTCATTTGCGTTGTGAAATTGAATTGACATTTTGGGCTTCCTGAGTCCCGAGTCTCAAAAAATATATACACAAAATTAATATTCAATATATTTAATACAAATGTTCAACACAAATACCCGTAGTAAATTCTCTGAAAAAAAATGCGTCATGGAACAAACACTCACATATATATTTACGGGGAAAATTGCAAATTGAGTTAAAAGAATATAATCTATAATAAATACCTACATATGTATTTAGATACTAAAACTAGGTCATTCTAACAATACAGAACACAGTCCTTATCTATATACCCACACAATGTTAAACATCCTAGTAGCGTTTCACAATTATTCTGACCAGTCGCTCGTTCCTGCCCAGAGAAATAACAACAAACCTGACACGCTCCTCTGTGCTTTTTCCCATATAATAATGAATTGACATTAATTTTTGGGTTTTAACTACTTTTTTATATACTTAAGGATATAAAAAAGAACAAGAGAATTTCCATTTATTATACAAAAAAATGTCTATCTCTTGTTTTGAAAGTAGATACAAGGGACCCGGCGTTTTACCGGTACCCCTTAAAAGTGTACATTCTTTTTTTTTTTTTT